TACTGAATCGTTAAAAATAATTTGTTTAGATAAATTAAAATATTCAGTCTAATAGAAGTTGTTGTTGGTTTGACACCATGTTTGAATATGTTCATGTGCAAAGCTAAGATTTGTTCACCGGTCTCCTTTAACTGAGTCCATAAAAGTGTAAAGAAAGATAAAATAAACAGTCCCGGTTTGTTTAAACAGGCCAACATCCAACAGGCCAACATCCAACAGGCCAACATCCAACAGGCCAACATCCAACAGGCCAACATCATCTGGGACTCCAGGCCTGACTGGGACAAAGAGAAGCAAAATGTAAAATGATCAAAATTATTAATAATATTAAAGCGCACCAAGAAAGGCATCGCTGTGTGTGCGTGTATGTGCGCGCGCAGTATGCACTGGGAATGGTCTGTGGAGCCAATCCGCTGTTCATGCAGATGACGTGCTGATGTCCTACGTCAGTCAAGCCGCACACAAACACACACGCGCGCGCGCGCGCCGGTGGGAAACACACTGTCACACACACACGCTTCCTCAGGGAGGCTGGTGAACCAGCTCCGGGCCGGAGCAGAGCGCACTTCCAGGCTTCGCGGCGCCGCAGCCCACCGAGACAGTGGAACAGTGGAGCTCTCTGCGCCGCACTGCTTCGACATGGGAGACATGGGGGACCCACCGAAAAGTAAGAGACTTGTTGGGGGGCGAGTCTGGCGAAAACTTTGGAGTTGAGTCGTTTTGCAATACTTGAAAAAATAAATGATTGTTGGCCTTTTAGTTATTGTCTCAGAGAAACGCAGCTCCTAAAAGCAGCTGAACTTTAATAATAATAATATAAATAATATTATTATTAATAATAATAATAATAATAATAATATGTTTTCTGCTCTTGCAGAGAAGAGGCTTGTGTCTCTCTGTGTGGGCTGTGGGAACCAGATCCATGACCAGTACATCCTGCGGGTCTCCCCGGACCTGGAGTGGCACGCGGCGTGTCTCAAGTGCGCGGAGTGCAGTCAGTACCTGGACGAGTCGTGCACGTGCTTCGTCCGGGACGGAAAGACTTATTGCAAACGGGACTACATCAGGTAGGACTGCCCGGGACCGGACGCCTTTTCATCCGACCGGAACTGGAGCTGCGCGTGCTGGGTCTCTGCTCTAGTTTTTATTTTATGAATGTTTCGACTCCATCCTGGAGTCCTGTTTTATGTTAGCATGGTTTGAGTAGATATTTTAACACAAGAACTTGTTGAACATGTGCAGAAGTCGCATTTCAAGGTTCAGGAGAGACTTTAAAAAAATGTAAAGTTAATAAAAATAAAAATAATAATCTGACAGAAATCAGCTCATGTAAATTATAAACTGCTGTGGGACTCATCAAGATGCTCAGCAAGATTTATATTTATATATTTTTATTTTTATTAAATGTCTATTTTACAATAACACGAATTACATCTGCTGAAACAGAACAAAAATATAAAAAATGTAAAATAAAACCATTTTTATGAGCATAACTAAACTGATGGTGGTATTTATAATAATAATAATAATAATAATATAATATTATAATAATAATAATAACAATAATAATAATGAGGTGTGTCCCGCAGGTTATACGGGATTAAATGCGCTAAATGCAATATCGGCTTCAGCAAGAACGACTTCGTGATGCGGGCTCGCTCCAAGGTCTACCACATCGAGTGTTTCCGCTGCGTGGCGTGCAGCCGCCAGCTCATCCCGGGGGACGAGTTCGCGCTGCGGGAGGACGGTCTGTTCTGCCGGGCGGACCACGACGTGGTGGAGCGGGCCAGCCTGGGCAGCGGAGACCCGCTGAGCCCGCTGCACCCGGCCCGGCCGCTGCAGATGGCAGGTCAGCACCTCATCCATCCATCCATCCATCCATCCATCCATCCATCCATCCATCCATCCATCCATCCATCCATCCATCCATCCATCCATCCATCCATCCATTTATTCAGTTATTTATTTATTTATTCACTTATGTATTTATTTATTTATTCACTTGTGTATTTATTATTATTATTATTATTATTATTATTATTATTATTATTATTATTATTATTATTATTATTATTATTATGGCTGGATCATTGTTGTGTTGAAACTTTGCTCTGACCCGCCTCGTGTGTGCGTCTGAACACTTTTTAGGATTAAAAGTTTTTTATAGTCTGCGTTTAACTTTTATTGGAGTTCTTGTGCTTTAGCCTTGTTTCTCTTAAACCCCTCGTGATGTCCTGCACACCAGGCCAGGCACGGTTGATTAGATAAATCGGGACAAATATACCGAGTTATCAGGCAGATGCGCGTGCATGCCGCAGGGCGTCAGCGAGCTCTGCACATCCGGCTGTCAAAACTAAGACGAGTTGTTTTTATTGATAATTGTAATGAATCCTCCTGATCAGAGGCCTGCTGTCGATCAGACCTGCTGTCGATCAGACCTGGATGAGACTCTCATCTTCTCATCACAGCAGCGGGACACTTCCGGGGTCCTCTGCTGGTTTTGTTTGTCTTTTCTGCTCTAATTGTCACCCAATGTGAAAAACAAAACAAAAAACAAAACAACCCCCCCCCCGCTTGTTAGGTGATATGAATTTTTTCAATGAATTTTAATGGTGATCATAAAAGTTATTTGTTTGTGTCTTGTGTGTTGGACCTTCAGACTTTTCATTGTTTTTAATCTTCTGATTTTAAATAACATGAAAAGTCTGGAGTCTAAGTGTGAACGGAACAAACAAAAACCCTAAACAGGTCAAAAATATAATGAGAAGACAAAACACTTGTCTAATATTAACATGTTAATATTAAACATGTTAATATAACAATATTAACATGTTTAGTATTAAATATTATTCCGTTGATGTTTTGTATTTTGGAGAAATTATAAATTATTTTTAAATTGGATTTGATTCTGGATCATTTAAGGAAGTCAAACTTGTTGTTTTGCGACCCAGGGTGGGGTCGGGACCCCACCTTCATTGGTCTAATTTATGTGTTGCTGGGTGACCGCTGCGCTGCATGTCCCCCCCCCCCCCCCCCCACCAGCACCAGTGACAGGTTTAAGCAGAAACAAAGGGATTAATGGAGGATGACACTGAATCCTGACCCACTAACTTTGCGCTTGTTTCTCCAACAGCAGAGCCGATCTCCGCGCGCCAGCCCGCGCTGCGCCCTCACGTGCACAAACAACCCGAGAAGACGACGCGCGTGCGGACGGTGCTGAACGAGAAGCAGCTGCACACCCTGCGGACCTGCTACAACGCCAACCCGCGGCCCGACGCGCTCATGAAGGAGCAGCTGGTGGAGATGACGGGCCTGAGCCCGCGCGTCATCCGGGTCTGGTTCCAGAACAAGCGCTGCAAGGACAAGAAGAAGTCCATCCTGATGAAGCAGCTGCAGCAGCAGCAGCCCAACGACAAGACGGTGAGACCCCCCCACACCAAACCCGCCCCTATACGATGGTAAAGCTGTGTGTTAATCGCGAGCGTCCTTCGCGCGCAGAACATCCAGGGACTGACGGGGACCCCGATGGTCGCGGCCAGTCCGGAGCGGCACGACGGGGGCATCCAGGCCAACCCGGTGGAGGTGCAGAGCTACCAGCCCCCCTGGAAGGTCCTCAGCGACTTCGCCCTCCAGAGCGACATCGACCAACCCGCCTTCCAGCAACTGGTGCGTCGCTGCAGCACTGGGGTGTGGTGGTGGTGGTGGGGGGGGGGGGGTGTCTTTACAACATCCAGGTCCTGCTCAGTGTGGGGACTCTCCTGTCCAGAATCTTTCTCCCGCGGCTGGGGGGGGGGGGGGGGGGTAATTTAGATGATTGAAAATGTTTAATTGCACCTTAAAAACCGTGTGTGTGTGTGTGTGTGTGGGGGGGGGGGGGGGGGTGTCTGTCCGGAGAGATCTTTTTAAATTTACACAAACATCTGAGCTGGACCTGCAGCTCCTGACAGATTTTATCACAAAAAGGACACTCATTTAAAAAGGTGTTCATTTAAATCTAAACATTGTGTCTAATCCTGATTTTAAATTCAGCCTGCCAGATTATATTGGAGATGAATACAAATGACTTCTGCACATTATTCATTGATTGATTGATTTAGAACCGATCAAATCAAACATTTTCTGCCTCTTGGAAACCTAAAATTATGAGTTCAGAGCCACAAAAAACATTTGGCATCAGTAATATTAGAACGTGTTGTTGAAGGTAAATTATTAAAAGATAAAGTTTAAATATTGATAAAAAAATGAAAGCCAGAGACCTTCATTTATTTTAATTGTTTTTTTTTTATGTTAGGCAAGCGTTCAATAACTCTTATAATGCAATTGTCTTATTTATGCAGAATTGCTGAACGACTGAGTGAAAATCTAAAATTTTCTGTCTGTCCCCTCAACAACCTGCCTGAACGTATTATTATTATTATTATTATTATTATCATTATACATGTGCAAATAAATAAATAAAAGACAGGGAAATTCTAAAACTAGGCTCCTCTGGTATTGTTATGAAAATCAATCAAATTAATACCAATGATTTATTTATTTATTTATTTTTGTTTCTTTGTTTTTTGGACAAAGCTTTAAAGAGGACCAAATGACCACATGTGGCCCTTTAGGACAGGAACAAAGAATACATCATATATATATATATATATATATATATATAATATACAGTTTATTTATATTGCTCCAAGTCACAACAGAAGTCATCTCAGGGCACCGAACAGAAACATTCATGTACATAAATAATAATTTAACATTATTTATCTGAGGAACAGACTGTTTTGAATTTAACTTCATCACAGAACTCTCATCTTGAGCAAACATGAAGGAGACAGTGGAAAGGAAAAACTCCCTCATGAGGAAG